CTCGATCTCTCTATTCGATTCAGATCGAAATCGAAAATCCTAAGCTATGGTTGTGACCCGAGAAGGTTCACGAGGCCGACGTTATTCTCGACGCGGAGGAGTTTCGCGAGGCAGAGTATTTTGTCAAGGTGGAGGAGTTTCTCGAGGCCGTAGTGGAAAACCAACCGGCGCTGTTGCTGGTGCAAGACCACCGGCGCTGTTGGTGGTAGAAGACCAACCGGCGCTCTTGGTCTTGTGAAACCCAAAGCCGATGGTGGTGCAAATGCCAAAACTGCTGGTGGTCCAAATGCCAAACCCGTTGCTGCTGTAAAAGCCAAAGTCGGTGATGCTTCGACCTCACATGCACCACCACCTCACAATAGTGGAGAGGGTACGGTGAGAGACAGCGATCTTGGAAAGCTTCCACCGGTGGTCAAAGATGGTTCAACCTCACGGTCACAGAGACACAACACCGGAGATGATACAGCCAGAAAGAGCGGTGGTATACCACTGCAACGACCTAGGTCAAGCGGCGACGGTGGTTCTTCTCAGTGCTCCAATCCACAACGTCGTACTCCAGACTCTCAAGTGACTGTATCAGTTTCTCGAACAACATCTATTCCTCCGCAATACCGAGCCTCAACTAATAGGCTTCCATTTGTTGGCCTAACTTCTCAAGCTCCATCCAATTACCAAATTCCCAACCTCAACCTCAATCGCCATTAACGACAGGAAGCCCATCAGTTTGACCAACCAGAAGTTGGCGTTGATAGTGAAGATGAGGAATATGATGAGGATAAAGGAGAAGAACTCGATGGTGAAGAACACTAAGCTGAAGAAAACGAAGCTGATGAATTGGAAGGTTATCACGTACCAGTTGGGGCAGACAACCAGAAACTCTTGGACAATATTTTGGCTCTTCCAGGACGATAGAGACTACCCCTCCTCAGTGAGGTTCCTAAGCCAGATACGCTATGGTAAGTTTATTCTCATATGTAACCAATGTTTATCTTGAAATATGTTGGTACTCTCATATGGTTTAGTAGTAGGAATCAGGTACAAGTTTCAACTGTCTTATAGAATGGTTTTCATTTCACAAAGATTAGCATCATTGTCTGTGTTAGTTTGTATTTAACTTCTCTTTATGTTCATGTCTTAGGTTTACTCGGGATAGTGGACTATTGACACATGTGATTGCTGGGATATTTCGTCGCAAGTTTGATGGTCCTTTCTATAGCTGGACGGTGACGCCCATATCACAGCAAGAGCTATATTTCTGAACTTTTGCGGGAATGTTTCATTCTTGATCATTACCTAACTAATATACTTCTATTGATCAATACCTAACTGAGTTTTTACTGTATTAGGGGAAATACAATTGGGACATAGGGATCTGAGCTTGTTAGGGCTCATTTTCTAGAGGATTGCTACCAAAAGAATGAGAGGAATTGTGAGTCAGGCTAAGAAGAAGGGTGTAAGGCCAACT